AGGTTTAAGGTTTGTTACCTGATTAGAAATTGGCAGTCTAATATTATCTCACCCTGTCTGGATCATCCTTAAAGTGGTACACTTACGTGCTAAACGCCTAACGATATCGACCAAAAGGCATCTGAGTGATGATGCACTGCCAAATCCCCGGATCTATATCCCACATTGTATACTTTGGGAATTTTAATAAGGAATATCAAAGCCCCCCCCCCCCCCCCCACAATTTCAACAGTTTAGAAAGATCTATGCATGTGAGTGGAAGCAGATTGGTCAATCAAATATTCAGAGGTACATGGTATCCATGAAAAAAAGGATATATTGCAGTAATTAGAGCGTGTAGTTGTATTACTCCATAGAGATTATTTTATGTGAATTTTCATTTTGAGGGTACATCATATCCTTGACACTTTGCTTAAAAGTCTGACGAGATACATGACATTTACGCAACGTCGAACTGAAATACGTATCTCTAAACATGAATTAGAGAAAGTATTTATTATACGCATTTGTTCGATAAAACTTAAAAAATGTCAGGTGAATACTTAGAAGTTTGGTTCAGTGTGTGGTCTTTATAATGGCAGTATTAGGAAATATGAATTGTAATCTCTTAATTTTACTTTGGCCTATTTGTTTCATGCCGATTATTAGGCTTTTGTTTTTATACTCTATTAGTTTATTAATAAAATTTTTCATCTACTTGATCCATATACGGATTACGATGGGTGTGACCGATCAGCAGGGAATGCCCAATCCTCCCAGGCACCTGGAGTCCCGGTGTTTCGTGTTTTGTATTTTTAGTTTTTGTAATGAAATATATGGAGATAAAGAAGAGTATTCAACAGGTTGGGGGGAAACGTAAATTCCGCTATAATAGTGGTATTTCACTATTATAGTGAAATTACGCTATATTTCCCGTCGTGGATACCCTCAATTTCACCCGATACCATGCAAGGCGTTTGAACCGCACGTCATGGTGGGTATTACAATGAACAAAAACTGTCATGCTTGCATGTTTTTAATTTTAATAAAATTTCTACCGTTGCGTTTGAAAATGCGAGCACTCTTTTTTTAACGGAAGTTGCATTTTTAACATAGCAACCGATGATTGCGGGGATATATAAGCCTGTTTGAATCTCACTTATTGCTCATTAATGTGCACAAAGTAATGTTTGTTACAATTGTCAACTTAAACTGGAAAGGGTTTATTGAATTAAACAAGAAAAAGATTATTTCTGTCTGCATGGTTACGGGTATGGAGCCCCGTTATGGTAAACGGAAAGACCCATTATTATCGATCGCTGCTGCAGCCGATCTTTTTGTACATGGTTGTTAAATAGTGAACATGGGAAATGAGAAGTGATTTTTGTAAAAGTTCAGTGTAATAATTTTTCATTGATAACATGTAGAAAATCATCAGTAAAATTTAAAATATTATTGTTATAATGTTTCAATTTCATTGTCATTTCTCATCAAGTTATTTGATAATTTTTGACTATATACTCGTAAAAAGAGTTTACTAAAGGTATTACATATACATAAAAGGAAATTTTGATTTTCCGGTCGTATCATAATGACGTGGTGCATAAAGTGCATGGTTAATAAAAAATCAAAAACTCTTTAACTCGTAAAAATTGTTTTGAATATGTTATAGCTACGAATGCTGCCAATGATACAAGAATAATTTCGTTTCCACATTTTGCACAGTGCCTTGCAGCATAGCCTATTTTGCAAAAAAACATAGGAATTATCACGTGCATGATCAAGATCCAGGGTGCACGTGGTTCGGTCATTTTTATTTTAGACTGTCTTCAAAGCAAGACAAATAATTTTTTTAAATAAGTACGGATATACATATTTTAATGCATTTGCTCATCAGATATATATTCATCGATGTAATAAAGTCCATGGGAGTCTGAAGCAAATTGAAAGGGCGGCTAATTGAAAGTGGGGGGGGGGGGTGGTTAAACCAACAAAAAAAGATAAAACCCAATTTTCAATACAAAGAAAATGTCTATCCTTGCAAGAAAGTGGGGGGGGGGGGGGGCTAGGCGCCCCTAGCACCCTCCGGTTCTGACGCCTGTGTAGTCTATGATAAAAGAATTGATTGTAAATAAAAATATACGCTTTTCAAGACTTCTACTTCAGCTTTGAATATCTTGCACTTCCATTGCATGAATATGCTTTCAGAATTGTGAAAGTACTTTTTCAAATGCTAAATTGTTTGCGGATAATTTGATGTTTTACATCAATTTTTAATTGTCGAAAATATGAATTGAGTCGAAGATATTTTAGACACTCCTTATGCTGAGCAGTGATGATTTGTTATTTGGAGTTTCCTTGTAGTTTAAACAATAATACATTAGCATAAATCTAAAAGTCTGAAAAATTAATACTTTTATAGTGATTTTTTGCTATATACTTTTATTTCATATGAATACATGTATAATTAGATAAGAATATTTTTTTAAATAACAAGAAAAAAACCAGAAGTCTCTGCCGAGACTGAAGCTCTACTGGTTTGAACTTATAGCAAAGGAAGAGAAAAGTACTTAAGCAGCTGGGATTTGAGACTTTACAACAGCAATAAATAGAATAATGATCATTGATAAAGTCTCTTTATTTTCTTAGTGCAGTCTACTTGTGTGCCAAGTTATATTGAAATCAGACCAAAACTGTAGGAGGAGTAGCATTTTGAAACAATTTTAAAGATATTTCTATTTTTAGTAACCACGGCAACACCATTCATCAAAATTAAAATTCGATACACAGAATTATGTATCTTAGTGTATTCTACTTGTGTGCCCAGTTATATTGAAATCAGACCAAAACTGTAGGAGGAGTAGCATTTTGAAACAATTTTACAGAATGATATTTCTATTTTTAGTAACCACGGCAGCACCGTTCATCGAAATCAAAAACCGATATACAGATTTATGTATCTTTAGTGTAGTCTACTTGTGTGCCAAGTTATACTTAAATCAGACCAAAACTGTAGGAGGAGTAGCATTTTGAAAGAATTTCACAGAAATTTCTATTTTTAGTAACCACGGCAACACCGTTCATCGAAATCAAAAACCGATACACAGAATTAAGTATCTTAGTGTAGTCTACTTGTGTGCCAAGTTATACTGAAATCAGACCAAAAATGTAGGAGGAGTAGCATTTTGAAAGAATTTCACAGAAATTTCGATTTTTAGTAACCATGGCAACACTGTTCATCGAAATCAAAAACCGATACACAGAATTATGTATCTTAGTGTATTCTACTTGTGTGCCAAGTTATACTGAAATCAGATTAAAACTGTAGGAGGAGTTGCATTTGAAAGAATTTCACAGAAATTTCTATTTTTAGTAACCACGGCAACACCATTCATCAAAATTAAAATTCGATACACAGAATTATGTATCTTAGTGTAGTCTACTTGTGTGCCAAGTTATATTGAAATTAGACCAAAACTGTAGGAGGAGTAGCATTTTGAAAAATTGTTTACAGACAGACGGACAGACGGACGGACGCCGGACGCATTACTATCGCATAAGCTCTTCTGGTCTCTGACCAGTAGAGCTAAAAACTACATGTATACCTATTTCTCTCAAATTTTAAAGTTAATTCTATTTTGCCTAAGTGCATAACCATAAAATGTTAAATAAGATACATTTGTGCGAAGTTAAAAAGATCGTTGAATCATAATTATTTGAACATGTGTTAAAATAAGGTTACAGACACTCTTGTTAAATATTACCGACACCGAAATAAATTGAGTCTTTTTTTCTGAAATAAAAAATTAACCAGCCGATATTGAAAATTAGATATATTTTCTGGGATCGTATATATGTGTAATTTTTGGATAATTTATTATCAATTGATTTTGTTAAGAGAAAAGATATCGAGTTTATCAATACACTCTTTTTTCATGTTTGCTATAATGGGTCTTTCCGTTTACCATAACGGGGCTCCATACCCGTAACCATGCAGACAGAAATAATCTTTTTCTTGTTTAATTCAATAAACCCTTTCCAGTTTAAGTTGACAATTGTAACAAACATTACTTTGTGCACATTAATGAGCTATAAGTGAGATTCAAACAGGCTTATATATCCCCGCAATCATCGGTTGCTATGTTAAAAATGCAACTTCCGTTAAAAAAAGAGTGCTCGCATTTTCAAACGCAACGGTAGAAAATTTATTAAAATTCAAAACATGCAAGCATGACAGTTTTTATTCATTGTAATACCCACCATGACGTGCGGTTCAAACGCCTTGCGGGTGAAATTGAGGGTATCCACGACGGGAAATATAGCGTAATTTCACTATAATAGTGAAATACCACTATTATAGCGGAATTTACGTTTCCCCCCAACCTGTTCAAGCTAACAAGTCCATTAAACAATACAGAATAGGAGCAGAGCAAACACGGATCTCCAAAACATCTGAGATGTGATCAGGTGCCATGGAGGAGTTACCATCTCCTGTAAACACGAACCGGGCATCCTCATTATGAATCGAACCCTCTACCACTAGGCTACCACCATCGGTCCTCATGTCTGATCAGAAAATAAATAAATGCAACAGAAATGAGATGTTTCATTCAGATAAAAGGGATACGAGTCTTACTGGTGATTGTGATTGCATTAATCATTAAATAAAACAATACATGTACTGGGGCATTTATCAGGTAAAGTTCAATTTTAAGAAATATTGAACATTATTTGAGGTAGATTTTACATAGACTTAGTTAAAACATGCAGTGGATAAATAATACTAGTACTAATATTGAAGTTTTATCATTTAATCCTTACTACTGTGTCATAAAACTTAAATTTCATTTTGGACCAACTGATTGTTATAAACAATATTATGACAACAAAGCTGATGGTTTCCAGACCAGTGCATGTTGTGACTTATGAGTTTTTTTCCATCAAACTCAGTAATGATTATATCTTTGTCGTAAAGTCACATTCTCATTCACTTTTGTTCTAACCAGTGAAGAAAATCGCAATACAATTGTCAAGATTTTATTTTATAAAAATTTAATTGTAAAAAAGTACAAGCAAAACTATTTACCTGATGAAAACAGTGACCAAACAAAAATCGAAACCTCTACACACAAGAACCAACGTTCTTATTAAGCACATGTTATACATAAAAATCATAATTTTCATATAAGAATTTTTTTAGTTTGACAAATATTTTTAAAAAGTAAAAAATAAATGTTGGTGGTGATTGTAATTTTCACTATTTGTGTAAAAATGTAAAAAAAAAAAAAAAGAAAACTCAATTAAAACAAAAAACAATAACAATGACTAGGACAAATACAAAATTTATATCAAGAAACAATAGCTACACAAATTAAACAATCCCTGCTTGGGGATGAGGTCTTTTAAATAAGACAACATTCTTCAAATTTAAACGGAACAAAACAAAAAGCTTTCTCACAAATGACAAACTTTTTTCTTATGATTTTTCCAAGTAATACGGGTAATCATTAGTAAATGAAGGCAAATTTTTTACTGAGATGCATGCAATAAAGATATATATGATATAAAACCTCTAACACTTCATGATTTTAGGGGAAATTTTAAAAAGAATAATATACATGTACTTAATATAAGTTTCTAAAATATAAAGTTATGTTTTAATATCGAATGATATAAGATTATAAAATTTTGATTGTTTACATCCTATACTTTGACAAAGCTATACATAAGCTGATAAGAAATCATTATATCTGGATCATTGCGTGGATAGACAGCAGCGGTGAGCTGGAGTTTGTTTTGGCTTTACTGCTGTCGTGTAAATCCTAGCGGTAGCACTACACAGCCATAGACTCTGATCCTGTCTGCTTACATAGGACAATGGCAAAAACAAAGCCCAGCAGCTAGGGAAGACAAAGTTCAAATGTAAGTTATCAAATAAAGGGGGAAATAAATTTCATGACAAAATAGTGTGAAGATTTGCTGCATTCAACTATTTTCATATTTTAGAAAAGGGGAGGAGGATTTGCTCATGTGAAATGTTGATTGATTGTTTGATTCTCTTCCAGAATGTTTCGTTCATATTGAGATGCCAACACAAGCCGGTGGAGGGTTGTTTTAGACTTACAAGTACTTGACCAGGAAGAGGCCTCGTTATGTAATATACTAGTACTTACATTTAATTTTTTTAGGTAACCACGAATTCATTGAAAAATGTTTAGTATAACATCGCTTCTAATATCCATATTTGTACATCCAAGTCCAAATTATAAATCAAAGAATCAGGTAATCATGCAGAGTTCTATATGTATATACCTAAATACTGGACCTAGTATAGGCATTATAATTTTTAGAATGTGTATTAAACTACCTTTAAAACATGAATAATTCTTACCTCAATTACCATAACGGTGATCGCAACCCCAATAACCGGTGCTGATGAACTTTGAACCAACTCTTGAAATCGATCGTAACAACCCTTTAAAATCAGCAAAATAATCAGAATTGCACGAAAGAGTGGTAATAGAACGATGATATGTTATCAATTACTATTAACAAGAGGTTCATCGTTATTACATCCACACAAGAAACTTGTTCCTCAGATTTGTAGATTTTCATTTTTCTATATAAATAATTGTGACCTTATATTGTACCCCCTCTGAATTCAAACAGCAAAAAATTAATTCAATATCAAAATGGCTAACATAGCCTTGCAGCTGTCGAGAAGGAGTCTCTGTTTTGTATACATGGATACATTTGTAAAAGAGATTTCTTTGTTAAATGTGAATTCCAGAAAAGAGGTACCTATAGTGCAACCCCAACTCTGTCCTTCAATGTCTATAGCTTTATTATTTTCTGATACATGTAATCTTTGACGTATTCCTCGTTTTTTTAGGCTTTGTTATTTTGCAGAACTTGATGTATTTTTGTAGATTTTCCTTCAGATATCTCAACTAATATAATAACACTCACCTGAGTATTGTAGTTTTTGGAGACGCTGGCGTAACAGTCTGCCGGCGCCTGCGTTTTGTAGTTTGATTCAGTGACTCCCACACAGCAGGTTTTGGGGATCTGCGCATTTGTTTGTTGGCATTCACCGGAAGTTGTACACCAAGGGGTCAGATCAAAGTCGTTTGTAGTCCCCTGTACTCTATTTACACCGCAGCAATCAAACTAAAGGAGTATATACATATTCAAAACATCTAATTGTTTTTGTACAAGACCTGCATACTCATAAATTTTAGAAAGAAAAAATATACTGTCAAATGTGTCTTTATTGTTACCTTTACGTAGTTTTGTGCAACTGGATTTCAAGAAAAGCAATAACGGTTTCTGATCGTCGTAGAAAATATCAACTTTATTGTAGAAAGTCACAAGCAAATAAATAATACATGTTTTTTTCCGCTTTAAATCGAGATGTGTTAAATCGTTTCCAGTTAAGTTTTTGTTTGAGATAAAAACAAATAAAGTTAGACAAGTGACTAATTTGACTTATTCTAAGAATCACAATTAATGCTTGACAAAAATGTCTTCTGGTTTTAAAGAAAATATTAAGTTATCATGGTTACGTACAGTTAAAAATGCATAGTTCCATGCATTGGAAATATCGTTAGTACTGTTCAAAGAATCGTCAATAAAGTTTTCCTGCAAGGACTTCAGCAACGCCTCCTTGGTTTCCTCATTAAACTAGAACACAATAATAAAACAATACAATTTTACTAAATTAGGAGAAAGGAATTAATAGAAGAGCAACAAACTTCAAATGATTTTCTGTCATACTATACTGAGTGTATTATTAGTGTAATCTTTAATTTTTTCTCTTGCTGACAACCTTCTCTTCTCAGCAATACATTCTATCATAAGTTTCAATGCGTTCACTAGCATAATGTAAGAACTTTATATATATATATATATATATATATATATATATATATATATATATATATATATATATATATATATATATATATATATATATATATTTATGTTCAAGTTGAAACCTTCCAATTTGAAACACATTCATAAATTTCATTGTTATAGATTTTGTTAATACTTTGTGATTTCAATTTTTTAACTTCTGAGTACCAATATCTGATTAATAACACTTCTCAAATACTGGTATACTGCTGTACAGTACTTCAAATGCTCCATCTTCTCTGCTGTTAATATTTTAGTGAAGAGAAAAGACTTCATAGAACATCTACTAGTTCCTGGAATATATCTCTAATTGTAAGGAATTTTTTGCAGTTCAAGATCCAGTATAGGTATGTGTAATGGGAATATCAAAACACAACTATCACATGATTTTAAAAAAAATTCCTCATTACTGAGTATTTAAGAAGAAAACTACGAGTATGATGATATTACCATTAGCAGAGTTAAATCCCAGTTCCTCTAAAATACAATTAAAAATAATTAAAAATAAATAATGAGGCTTACAAACCAAAACAATGCTGTTATTTGCTTTCGCAGCTGGGCCATAAATACTAGTAAAATACAAATCTACCTTGTACCATATACACCTGTAAGCTTCTAATGTCGATTGACTAATTCGGCAAAATTAGACTTAGGCTATTGGATCCTCCCCCATTTGAAAATGTCAGTTAAAACTGGCACTAGCTCAAACAAAAAATCAGCATTTACACTTACCACTTTTCTCATTTGGAACCATAATATGACAGCTGCAATCTTCATAAGAAGCAAAAGCAAAACCAGGATAGCGTACTGCAAAAATTCAATAAAGTTATAGTCAGTATCTCTAGCTGTCACAATTTTTTTTAGATAAAAAGCTTAACACTTGATTTGTCTAAGAAGTTTAAACCCAGGACACAACTAAAAATGATAATTTTTTTTTAAGGATGGCCCCACCGATATCTTTTTTATATTGCATGCAAATATAAAGGGCATTTCCTGTTTTTTCTGTAACTTAGTAGCGCCATGAGAAATGTATTACGTTTGAAAGCTTACCGTAACTAGCATACACCTGACTTCACAGCAGGCTCCAAAAAGGCCCAGGCCTGCAACTACCACAATGAAAGCCCCAATAATAATGACTAGGATAGACACGCTGTTTAGGACATTTCCCAGATCGTTCCCCGCCAACTCCACCTTGTTTAGGGCGGGCAATACCTCGTCTGCTATAGCATTGACTTTGGCTACAATCCCCGCTATCAGTAGACCTATACCAAGTAGCTACAAAAGGACAGGAATACGTATATGTTACTGTTCATATATTGTAGAGAATTGTCCAGAATGTACAGTATAAATTCCTCCATTAAAAAGAAAAGCATATCTGCCATGGAAGCATACCTATGTAGATATATACATGTACAGTGTTAATCTACTTTTCAAAAGGTTTTTATGATCCCGTAATCGAAGATTCGGGGCTATTTAGTTTTTTTCCCTGTCTGTCTCTCTGTTTGTTTGTTTGCTTGTCCACAAAAGCTTTAACCATGCTCATTACCCTTGATTGGTTAGAGCTAAGACTTTTATGTGTATACCTTGAGACAAGGCCTTCTTTTCGGAAACAATATATTTGACCTTGACCTGGAACCCATTTTGCAAATAAAAAAATTAAACTACAACCTTGGCCATAACTTTTGAACAGTTGGTCCTGGTACATCATTATGACATGCCTTTCTAATGATATAAATACTTCTGACCTTTTGATAGTGACCTTTAATTTTGACTCACTTTTAAAAAAACTTTAACCTTGGTCATTACTTTTTAACATTTAGTTCTGTGGCCTTCATATCTCACAGATGTATTTCTTGTATCAAGATATTCGTTTGAATACCAACAAATTTCGACCTTGAAGTTTGGAGTTTGTGTATTTATTGTGACAAGACCATTCAGCTGGTATAAATATTTTTGACCTCGACCTAGGGTTTTACCCACTTTTTAAATACTTTAACCTTGACCATAAATTTTGAAGCGTTAGTACTAGGGCTTTTGTATTTCACAGGTATGCTCCTTGTGATAAGACCTTCCTTTGAGTACCAAAAGTTTTGACCTTGACCTTGGAGTTAAACTTACATTTGAAAAATTTCAAAAACTCGCGAAAAGCTGCCATACGGGGGCATCAGTGTTTTACAAGCATATCTTGTTTACTCCTATTTTGGGGCAAGCGTTTGTTCTTTGGAAGACATTTTTATGCACGATCTCCAAGATGGAAGTCGGAGTGGAATTTTGTTATACCGACATTCCAAAACCAAAAAGGACTATTTGGGACCATTGAAAGGTATATAAAGTATTTAAAAAAATGGTTGTGAAATACTAGTACATGCTAAACTATAGCATATCATTCTTATAGCAGAGGAAAGCATAAAATACAAGAAATAATACCCAAGGTGAGCGACCAAAATAAGCGGCGTAAATCACGTACAGGTTTTTACAATGCTTGGGTCTGTAGCTCTCTGCTTGTTGTGAAGTAATCTCTAAGAAAATATATTCTATCCCTTGGAGTGGAGGGGTAGTCGCCCCCCCCCTACCCCTCCCCCAGTGTCTCGTGAATTAATGTCAAGTGAAATCTGGTAGACTGGGGTTTCTGAATATTTGAGCAATGATGTGTTAAATGAAAAAAGATTTTTCTAGAAATGAATTAGATGTACTATGTACCATAAAAAAAATGACTCAAAACATGAAATTATCTACGATGATTTATTATCAACAAGTGAAGGAAAACATATCCATACATAATGATTGTAATGAAATGTGAAGATAATGAACAAGTTTTAACGCCTATTTAATAATTCATCATTTGGGACATCACTGAGTCATACTAGTATGGCAAAAAATGTTTCTGGGTCAAAAATTTCATATCAAAATGCAACAGGCAGTTTATTCTGTAATTCATGTCAAAGTAGAGGGAAGTATAAAGACAATCAACGGAACAAATTAAAAATTATTACAAAAATTAAATTAAGGACTGTTGATAGATAACGATTTATCTGAAATTCCGTTTAGCTTAAATAATGTTTCTCGATCTCAACTATCGATATCTCGACTACTTTTTCTTTTCTTTTTTTTTTTTTACACTCCACCAACACCCTTTTTCCATCTTTGAGGCTGATAACTATCTTTTTTACCTAGGTCAATTTTCAATGCATTCTTAAAGTTTTTTTTTTCTCTAAAAACACAAGAACTACGTACTTATTTGACTGGGACAAAATAATTCCATTGCTACTGCCCATTTTCCCGTACAAGTATCTAATAGTAATGTAAGTACTATATTACTTGCATCTGGAATGTTACTGGGTTAGAAACATGAAGCAATGCAAGAAGTGCAATATCAGAGTACCAAAAATTAAACAAAATGTTAAACTCACTTCCTTATGGTATGTACATGTATCATTCTGAACAATTTCTATATGTATATAGCTAGAGTTTGATCGCTAAGCTAGAGATGAGGAAAGTGGTGTAATTTCTTCATACCGACTCTTGTTTCTGGGAAGTTATATTGCTTATTGATTGGCTTATATGTAAATGAGAAATATTTCCTTTTTCTCTATTGATACTAGATACAATACTGATGTGATACTTACTTAATGGGCTGGTATTACCAGTGAACAAAATTAAATGAGCGTACAGAAGTATCACTATAAGTTGGCTTAATTTATGCTATATTTTGCGTTTTCTTTTTTTTTTAACAGTCTCTTTAATGAATGCATATTGGCATAAAAATTTCTTGTTTACGTCGATAATAATAATAATAATGTTATGAATGTTATATTTTTCATCCGACAACGAATGATGATATTGAATCACCTGCTCCCAGTATTCTGACAGTTTTAAAGGTTGTCTTTCAGTTTCAACTCATCTGTAGAGAATCATTAAAGGCTGGTTAATATTGGAAAGGACAGTTAAGAATTCAGAAATCTCTTAATTACAAAATAGAGAGAGCGAAATACGAGATGTAAAACAAGACAGCTTTAATGAAAGCAGAGTATTATTACTATTTTAGCTGAAAATCTCTGTCCTTCTTTATGTGAGGAGTTTGTTTTGTACAGCAGCACTAAGCACGCCTGTAATGTGTGTGTGTGATGATTGATGGATATATACATACTGCGCATAACTACACGCCATTGTTTTAGTCATTAAGGGCGTCTGGATAGGTTCACCTTCCTCTCAAAAGAAAACTATAAAACTACATCTTAACAAACATAATGTGATTAAATCAAAATGATTGTAAATGTACTTACAAAGAACAAAATGTTGATGCCGATCAAGAGAACTTTTCCAAATCGTCCGCAACAGTCCATCGCCATGTTTTCTTACAATTCAGCTGTCAGAGGCTAGAATATTATAATCCTTCTCTGTTGATCAATTACGTAGATAATAATAGTCAAATTTCTCGTCACTGACTCCTACATAAATTTCTACCATCTAGGTTAAATAATGTTAAAAAAATAAGAGTCTTCTCAGTTAATATGAAAAGCCCGAGAAGTTACGAATGAAAATAAATCTCACGTGCGTCTTATGTAATGAAGGATTTCTTCGAGATTTACTCGAAACAATCATATTTGGTCCTTATCTTAATTAAGCCATTAAATAACGAAATATGATTAAGATTGATTTTTTTCACTGACAGAGTTTTTATGCCCCGAAATCAGAGATTGGGAGGTATATAGTATAACTTTTACCCGTCTGTACGTCTGCCAGCAAAAAAGTATAACATTGTTAATATTTTTTTTTTGATTGGTTTGAGATAGGGTTTACATATTTCACATCTTTGTGACATGACATCTGTTTTAATACCAAAATATTTATAAAATTAACTTTGACCTTAAATTGGAGTTTGAGTCACTTTTGTCAAATTTAACCTGACTTTATCTTTCTTCTTGGTCAAAACGTTTGAACAGTCGTGTTAGGTCTTTCATACTCCAGACCTATTTTAAATTTCCTCATGATTGAAAATATCTTTTCTTAATTGACCCTGGAGTTTTTTTTATCTTGGCAATAACTTTTAAATGGTTAGTATGGGTTGTTTCAATAAGCATGTCACAACTTTGATTCTCTACATTTTTGCACAATAATAAACTATTTACAAAACAGTTGTACTTAATGAAGTATTTCGTTAAACGAAAAACACATGGAGATAAAACAGTATTTAAGATCAAAAGTCCATAAAACAATACATAATAGGAGCAGAGCAAACACGGTCCTCCAGAACATCAGAGGTGGGATCAAATGCCATGGCGGAGTGAGCATTCCCTGCCGACCGGTCATACCCGCCGTGGGCTCCTTGTCATGATCGGGAAATAACTAGTGTTGGCAACGAGCACCCGGTTAACCGGTTAACCGTCGAACGATGCGAGTATCGGTTAGTAAAACTGCTATTCGGTTACTCGGATAAAAATACATTTTTCATAGTAAATACGTATAAAATGATTTTTATGCTATTTGTAATTGTATACTGACACATTTCCCTAAATTAATTACCGTTAGGCTTTCTCTACTGGTGCAAAATTGGGATCGATTTGTTTTGATAAGTTTTAACAGCGTATATAATTAAGGGTTTTGATTACCAGGAGGGATACATGCTTTGAAGACCTGATTTATAATTACCTAATTTAGACCAATGATAGTCAGAGGAAAAACATCTAAAGCGTGGATATATTTTAAAAGAAAGACTGAATCTGTCAAATGCAAATTATGTGAACTGAATCGGAGTTGTCATATACGGGTGGAAATATAAATATGCTAAATCACCTTAGATTGAAACAAAATTCGGAATCCAGTGACTTATGTTGATTCTCCTCGATCACGACACGTATCTTCTTCATGTGTTGATTTTTTTTCTTAAATGAAAACAAACAGATCGTTTCAGGTGACATTTAAAATCAATATTCTTCGAAAATGTTGTGTGTTTTTTAGAGTTTGTATTTGTAAATAAATTAAAATTTATATATGTTGCATTTGTGGTTTATTTTTACCAATAAGTAAAAGGATGAGATTAATAATAAGTACGGAAACTATGGCAAAAAATCATCCGAGTAACCGGGTACTCGATCGGAAGATTAAGCGAGTAACCGGTTACTAAAAATCGTCCGATTTGCCAACACTAGAAATAACGGAAAAATCCGTCGTCAATTTAGTGTCTAAATAATGGACTAACAATTAGTATGAAAAACGTCAGTCAGCATTTTACTCAATGATAAATTGTATTTCCTGGCAAGGTCATAGCATAGACCATACTAGAATATACGAAATGATTACTTTAAACGAGACTGCTGAATGCTGATATTCTTGATATTCATTTTTCATCTATAATAAACCTCGTTTTAAAAATTGTTCATACGTAGATCATGCCCTTGCGTATCGAATTAACTCAGATATAAAAACTCCGTATGCAGGTGATGAAGGTATATTGCTGTATAGATAAGGGAAATTTTTTTACTAATTGACGATTGTAAAGTTAAAGTCATCACGTTTATCATAGAGCTTGGTTGTTAGATTACCACTGACGTCTTTTTCAAGTAAAATATTCACATATATCGTAATATAAACACAATATACTATAGCACATTCACACTATTAATTAGATAATCAAAATTCAGGTAGTCATTTTTTAATGGATGATACAAGAAATCACTTCATCGATATTGTAAACTCCTCTGTGCGATCAGAAAATCCTAATTAAAGAGAAAAAGATTTTGAAAAAAAGAGGTATTCCCCCCCTAAAAAGCATCTCTCCAGAAAGCAGATTTTTTGAATTGTGTTTAAACTTGAGCAATATGGACCCCTAACACAAAGTGATACTTACGCCAGAGAAACGCAACAGCCATGACTGGGGCATTATAAAATGAAGTTCACTCGAAAATTCTGTATTGAGTACATGTTTAAAAAATGCTTGCATTAAGAATAAATGATGAAGCTCAATCTGCACAAGTCTTCCGTGCAGATGAGATTATGGTCTGCACATTTTTCCAAAATTTTCTCACAGGTACTTGTGGACAGGAAACCCCCCCCCCCAATATATACACCCCTGGTCAAAATATTTTTTTTTCTTTTTTTGCCATTAATTATGTTTCTAGTACATATTTACAACGTATTCCATGTTAAAAATCCAGAAAATAACATAGATTTAACGATTTACTAAAAAAGTCATACCCTGGTATTATAAAATAGAGAAGGTAAGTCACTTCGGTTTGTAAATTCGGACCCCTCTTGAATATCGGGCCTAAAATATCATATACCTACTACATGTCACCAAAATGTGTCATGATATCTTGTTTCGGTAGATATTTTTGTCTTTAATCGTGCCAGTTAATTGCCCAGACATTCCCCAGTTATCCAAGTATTCAGCGTCAAACGTGAAAAATTTGGAAAATGTCAAACCAGAAATTACGGAAGTGATCCAAAAACGACACCTAGCGGGTAATTTTCGAGTTCCGAGTGTCATAGAATAAGGAAGAAAGTCAGAGGACTACGAAAAAGTTCGGGAAAATTTTGATAAAAGAAGTCGAAATCGATTCATGGACATAAACTTTGGGCATAACTTTTAAACGGTTGATACTATGGCTTTCTCATTTCATAAGTGTGTTTTTGTAACATGATCTTCACTTTTTACCAACAATTACAATCCTTTTTTTATATGACGTTGGAGCTTGGCCTTCTTTAAAAGATTTCTTGTCCATGACTTTTAAATAATTAGAGCTAAGACTAACCCTATGCAATTTACAATTAGATGTCAAATCTATTTTCCTTGATAGTTTTGCTTCTACTATAAGGAGAGTAGCAGAACTGTCAGTGGAGAATTGTTTATGGTATCAAATCAAACTATTTACAGCCTATAAAACAACAATACCTGTATTAGATAGGGGCCATTTAAGAAATACTCCGACAGACCATGGATAAACATATAACACCCAGAACTTCATAACATCGTGACAATGCCTGGAGATTGAAATCATCACAGACTCACTCTACAGTTGAGTATTATTAAGTTGGTGAAATTCATATCAGTTGAATCGATGCGTAAGAGCATGCTCAGCGACTGAACAATTTCCAAAACGAGGTAAGTTACTGACAAACAAGTTGATGAAACAAAAATTTCAGCAATCATGTCCGTCTTTGCTCTGTTCCTGATTTGTATTGTTAAATGGACTTTTGATTGAATATCATATATTTCATATATTAACTGTATTGCAATATGTTTACAAACGGTATAACGGTCATCACGATTATCATTATCAATGCAAAACGGATATAAAAAGAGAGAGATGGAATATCGTCAAATTGGTTAAGTGATGATGAAATCACCAAATGTAAGTCTTGTGTCAAAATTGTGTTCTTGTAATTCAAAAGAGTAATGATTTTATTTCATTCCGGGTCCCAACTGTTCAAGTGTATGGGACAGTATTCCCTTTTTTACAAGCAGAATTTGGGTAATACGAGCAAACAACTTTGAGAACTTAATTTACATTGAAAATGTGCTGTGCCAGGTTAATATGGCATGGATCATCTAGCATGATCTTCTCGCCTCCCCTTGCGCACGATGTACGGTAACTGTACCATTGAGGTTAATCAAGAGAAGTTACTGTTAAATTGATTGATTGATTGTATTTTGTCCCATTCAAGAATCTTTCACTCATAAAAAGATGTCACCATATATCAGTAAAGGGCTACAAATTTTGACCTTTACTTGGCACTCAGGGTCATTGAGCAGTGGGGGATCTTTATCGTGACAATGCCTGCCGTGATATGGGACCTCGGTTTTCAAGGTCTAATCCGAAGGATCCGCAACTTTCACTTCAAGTGCCAAGCGCAAGGCGAAGGAATAGTTGCTACCTATGCTCAGTTGTTGAAAAGAAGATGTTAAAAATGTGCAAATATTATTGACAATAACATACTGTTATTTTAAGCTACAGTTGATATTCTCAGATAAAAAAAAAAATTGAATATGCTCTTTAAAATGGAAGAGGATATAAAACCAAGTGCTGGCATACCATACTGTCCATAAAAGTTCGACATAGCTACATCTAAAAAAATGTGTATCGTTTTTAAGCCATAGTTTAATAATAATATAAGCTACCCAATTCTGAATTCATTACATGGGGACCCCCCTCCCCAGAATTGCACTGTTTCTTACCAGGCCAACTTTAGAATAATTTTTGTTTGCCCTCTCCCGAGTTAGTCTGAAATCGGTAGATACTTGAAATTTTTTTTATCGGAAAATTTCTATTTCAGTGCAATGTTTTTTTTTAAATTCTATATCCCAGAGTACATAAAAATAATGATTGCTCTTTGTATGTTAAAAAAATTTCAATTCGGGACATTTTAGCCACTCCGTCGGGAGAGGGCAACCAAACAATTTTTCTTCTGCGATAATGTATCTATACAACCATAAATGGCATGCTTGTCTTTATTTTCTTTAATAACCTGACTTATTTTTACTCCTCTACCCTCCTCAACAAAATTAAGTTTTGGAATTTAAATATATTTTACTCTTTCGCATAT